ATGTTTTCTTCCTCTGTCAAAGACTTGCTGATACTAACAGAGTACAGCTGTAGATCTCATGTGAGTCAGGAGTTTGACTCCAGGCAAGAAGGAAGAAACACTGTATTGTGTAGGTTGTCAAAAGTATTGAAAATCAGATACTAATTGATACTAATAACTAATATCGAAACTACTCACAAGACAGAAATGAACCTTTGCTGAATAGCTTTAGAATGATCTTGAGCTGTATCAGAATGCATATCTCCTTCCTGAGAAGCTATGAGGAAAGGTATGTATTTTCTGGTTGATAAAGTAAATTATACAACAGAGATTGTTTTAAAATACCCTATGGAAGCAATAGTAGTCTAGTGCCACTTTTCAAAAATATATTCAAAAACATGCATTCTTATTTCTCCACAGATGTGACCTGTAACTTGGTGGTAAGTGTAACGCCATACTGTGGAACAATACAGGTAAAGCTGAAATCTCCATAGAGACAAGCAAGTGGGATGGCTGACCCAAGCCCCCAGGTTCCAAAATGGGCTGAGCTCAATGGCGCATGATCCCAGATTAGCCTAGCCCGGCTAGGTACTTCTGGTGGCTGTGGGCCGACCGAGCATACGCAGTAGTGCTCTTTTCTCCCATGGGCACACGCGAATGCACGTGACCACACGCACGGAGCGCGGGCTCGTGTATCACGTGATCGCTTTGACCAATCAGAGCGAGAGGAACGAGAGCGGAGCAGAGCGGAGCCGGAGCTAACGAATATAAAGCGTTTTTTAAGACAACTGAAGGATTTTGAGCGAAAAAAGTTTATGATCTAAAAATAGGTAAAAATTGCCACAAAATCCAACATTTTTGAAAGTTGTAGGTGCCCTGTCAGCCGAACACGAGCAGGTTGTGATTACATTGCGCTCTATGAGAAAAATCTTCTCTTGGCCCATGGGATTTTTTCGACTGTAGTACCACTGAGTGGCCACTACGTCAACTCGAGGCAGCTACAAGCTAGCAATACTGTATCCAGTTATTTTAATAGATCCATGGGCTGACCTTCCACCAGAAATGTTTGCACTGTACCTTTAATTTTTTGTCCCTCTCACTCTAAAGAGTTGTCAGAGTAGAAAATTTTAAATAAACTGGATATTGTTTTTTATCCTGCCAAATAAAATATGTTTTTTAGTCCTGGTTTAGACCTGGTCTCGTCCTAGTTGAATCTTAATTTAGTCCTGGTTTAATCCTAGATTAAGTCTAGTTAAGTCCTGATTCAGTCCTGGTTTGGTCCTGGTTCATTCCTGGTTTAGTCCTGGTTTACTCCTGATTCAGTCCAGATTTGAAGGTTTCTGGACACTGTTTTGCTCTGACCTTTGCCAAATAAAAATAATTCTCCTTTCTAAACCAGATGTTCCCACACACTTTTTACACTCTGTTCAATGATGGTGCAGTATTAGTGTGAATTATGAGTACTCACATTTTTGAACATTGAGAGATGAAGGATGAGGGATTTAATATTGCTGAACAAGTACATGTAGTGAATTAGCATACTGAGAATAATGATGGGCCTTCAAACCAATTATTGGTCCTGTCCCATATACAGACAGAGTTCCTTTCTCTGATCCATCCATCATCATCCATCGGTTCATCCATCGGCTTTATCCACTGATCCTCCTCGATGGCGAGCTGCCCATGAGCCTGAACACCTAAACTGTTACCTTCTGCAGTGTGGTAGGGGGTGCTGTGGTCTGCTCCCCACACATCCTACACCTTACCATAAATGAGTCACATTCATATTGATCACATCACCTTGAACTGTAGTTCCAAACAAGACTGCTGTTAGCTGTTGGTTGGACTCCTCATCTCAAACCATGTACATACAGTAAATATTGTCTACACTTGGTTCAGCACTCATTCAGTCTTGGTTTCAACCCTGGTTCAGTCCTGGTCCAATCCTGGTTAGGACTTGTTTAGTCCTAGTTCAGTAGTGGTTTATTTCTCTTATTTACAGTCTGTTTAATGCAATAGTCGTACTTCCTCTGTATTATCTGCTCTGGCATCAAGCCGCAAAGTGTGCACAACGGATAAAGAGACCGCAGACTAACACAACGTATCGGGCCACTTCCTTCTCTACTGTAAAGCATGCATTATTCTGTATTGCTATCAAATGCTTAATTCATAATGAACAAATCATTTATTAAGAATGATTCAGGCTAGAGATGCACAGTTTGGGAAAAAAATTTCTTGTGACAATTTTCCCCAAAAGCATTGTGATTGATGGTTTTAATAATAGGTTCTGTTCATAGTTCACACTTGAAACTAGAAGAATTGGCTGAAATCTGAATTGGCAAACTAATACAAGAATCACATTTCAGAACTTGTTTGTGCAGCCAAGAGGGTTAGCAGATTTTATGAAAGTGCTCCAAAAACTGCATCCTTTGGCATTTGGTTTGGTGTGTTTGCATAGAAAAAAATTATACTAATGCCATACTGTGGAAGGTTATGAAGGGTGGATCCAAGATGAAAATGAACTGTAATGAATCTAGTAATATTTATAACCTAGGGTTCCTTATTATGAGTTAGATATTGTGTGACATAGAACACAAGCAGATGACATTATAAAGCTGTCATCCAAGTACGCCTTTATTTTTACAAGATAACTCTTCATAGCTCCTGACAGCTATCTACAATTAAATAAGAAATATTGCTGCATATTTAATTAATCACAGTTGAATCAAAATCACTATTTGACATCTCAAGGGCTGCAATTTTTGAAGTACCATAATTATCACTCACATTTGTAGCTGAGAAGAGGGTCCTAAACAAGTTCCTGTCCATCCTGGATAACCCCCAGCACCCCCTGCATAGCATCATCACCGAACAGGGGCGTACCTTTGGGGACAGGCTGTTGTCCCTGCCCTGCTCCATAGACAGACTCTGGAAGTCATTTGTACCACACACCATACAGCTGTAAACGCTATAATTTAATAAATGTATATAAATTAGGGGTGTAACGATATCCAAGTGTCACAATACGATATCATCACGGTATGAACCTCACAGTACAATATTTATTATGATATTGTGGGAAAGCTCATGATATGGATGGGAGGCTTACAATGTAACAATATCCAAATCTGTCGGTAGGACATTTTCACGATATAAAACTCACGGTACGATATTTATTGCAACATTTTGTGGAGAATAACAAAACTGTTAATATGCTACTTTTTCCTCTTAAAATGCCTTGTCAAGATTTAATCCAATTAATACTGTACATATTTATGCATTTGAATGAACTTGAATTAACTTGACTTGAATTGACTTGTATTGACTTATTCTGAGGTTAAAACCATTAACCAAATTCTCAAGCTTGATCATCATAATCTGCAGATGTACATACTGTAAATATTGCTTATATTTGTCTTATTCACATTTTGCACTGTCAGCATACGCCACCAGTCATAAATAACCAGTTTGTTTTTACTGGTCTCCCACATCCCAGAGAGCTGTGTCCTGTTGTTCTGGCCCTAGCCCTTACACCTATCCAGCTTCCCCCCTTGTTCCTGACATACACCATAGATATGCTACATATATATGTATATATGTTTTTTTTCCATTGACATATTGATTCCATACATTACCATAGCTAATTAACCATTTAGATGCCATTTTATGCCTAGTGCCACCTACAGCAAATTTGAATGATATGCAATAATAACTGATAGTTTTATGAGTGTGGATAATCAGTGAGAAGATTGACATGCAACACAAACATTCAAATGTTTAAAAACCTGTAAAAACATGTCTGTTTCATTTATGGCAATCGAACAACCTCAGCCAAAGTAATGTGCCTTCAGATAAACACATTTCCCTTAATAAGGGGCAAGATTTAAGACACAAACCCCTGCATATTTAGGCAGTTTTTCTTTCAAATGGAAAACAATCTGTTGCACCTATTGAAGAGCTCTATCGTGTTTTTAAACTCCATACACCTTCACTAGAACCATTTGGATGATTTGGATGATTTTGGAAGTGTCAATCTCTAAAGGTAAAAGGTAACTTGAAAACTACAGCTTCATGATATCACAGGGTGTAACAAAGCATTTTGAGCATTTGGACAGACAAATAATAAAAAATTACTCAAAGATGTGTAAATGAAACAAAACACAATTCCAGGTATGTTTTTGAGGAAGTAACAGCATTCTAACATGGCTTAAAGTTCACAAGAGGCTATTTTGTGTAATATAGGACCTTTAACCCTAGTCTTAGTTTAATGGTCAATGGTCACATTTTTATACAGCGCTTTTCCACCCTCATACTGGTATCTACAGCAGTGTGCGCAGACACTAAGGGCATGGTGGGTTAAGTGTCTTACCCAAGGTGAGAACAACAGTATTTATCTGTGAGAACTGGAATCACACCAGCCAACCTGTGAGTCAGTGAATTTGACTGCACTGGTTTAGTACATTTATAAATATGATTACCTCTGTGACCCAAGGCATGCAATAAAGTGAATAAAAAAATGTACTGTGCAAATTTCTAACTAAATACATATATATAAAAAAGCTGCTTTCGTATTGATTAATTACGCTCTACTTTGCCATTGAATATAGAAAAAGGACATGCACAATGTTGAACGTGATTACAATGCAAATCTGCATTTAACAATACTCATTTCATCTATACATACATTTTATTGGTCTATAGAATGTTATAATGTCGTCCTAAAGCAGCAGTTATGCTTTTAATAAACATTCAGCTAAATTGTTGCAATAGGCAAAATGTTATTTCCTGATACTGTCAAGGAACAACTGCAGTTCCACCAAAAGCGAGATAGACATACTCGCTTTAAGACCTTTTCATAGTCAACAACTACATGTGAGCTCATGTTAACAACATGTGAGCCTATGTCAAATACATGGTTTCGTTTTTAATGTAGTAATCATGCCAACATCTCGACAAGTGCGTGTAAAACTAGCTACCAAAACGCGACAACTGTTCATTCAAAAGTACTAAATAAACCTTACCTTGGGCTTGTTGAAGACGATCTCGTCGGGAGAGAGCTGTGCCATACTGGAGAGGGTGGAGAGGAGTGCAGGTCTGTCGGACTCAGTTAACGGCACCGAGTCTATCGCTAGCCTTATCACCGTGCGCGCTGGCGTTAGGGCGCACACTGATACGCCTGCCTGCCTGTGAGGCGGGATTATCAACCCATGTGAGGAGCTTTAGCGCTAATTGGCTCTGTTAAGACAACGAAAGAAAGCAACAAGAATGAACGTAATTAACATAAAAAGTGAATAACGTAAATAACATATTTATAATAGTCTATAGTCTTGTAAACACTAGAGGTGGATAGAGTTGTCAAAAATAGTCAAACAACGTTACGTCAAAATTATATTATTCAAGCAGAAGTAGCTTACAAAGTAGTCAAATAAAAGTAACTTAAAGGTCCTACATTATACAAAATTCTCATCTGTTTCTTTTACACATGTTTGAGTAATCTTTTATTATTAGTCGGTCTACATCTCCAAAGTTCAAATTCTAGTGAAGGTGTACGGAGTTTAAAAACACTGTGGAGCACTTCCTGTATTAACACATGGCATCACAAGGTGTTTTCTGATTGACAGAACGTGGCATAAATATGCAGGGTCCATCCATTTGCTTCTACTTTATCAGGTTAACGTAACGGGGTATAGGACCAACTAACGGGGGCAGCAGTCTGAGCAGAGAGCCCTTTAATTTACCCTTGACCACAGACTTCCTCCAGCCCCCGAGGCCAGCCCAGAGACATAATCCTTGCAGCGTGTCATGGCTCTTCCCTGGGGCCTCTTCCCGGTGGGACGTGCAGTCAAAGTATGCAGTGGCTCAGCCAGCATCCTTCAATCTACAGGATACTACAGAAACTGACATGTACCTAGAGAACAAGTCATACCACTTCAGTGTTGTTATTGGAGTTGAGTAAAGGCACTGAAAATGTGATAATTTGAAGACTAGATTATTCACTAAAACCAGGTGCACTTTACCTGTCAGTAGGGGTAGTAGCAGTCAGAGCATTATGTTTCTAGTAGAGATTAAGTTTCAGAATGTTCTGTAGCTAAGTAAAAGTCCTAATAAACAGGAAAAGACTTGCAACTAGTAATGTAAACATTTAATGTTATTTGGCCGAACAAATCAATGAATACTGAAATATAATATAGTCTGGCAGGAGGGAAATTCTGGCCTGTCCAGGGAGGCGTCCAGGTCAGGAGGCATCCATAACAGATGCCCGAGCCACCTCAACTGACTCCATGCTCCCCTCACTCATGAAGAAGACCTTGAGATACTTGAACTCCTCCATTTGATGCAGGGGCTCTCCACTCCAGGTACTGGCACTGACTGCCACATGCTTGAACATTGTGTTTGTTTTGGACAAACTGTGACTAGCACAGGTAATGAAGCAAAATACAACTCCAGGTATGTTTTTGATAAGGAAAAATTGTACTTTGGGCCCTTTAAACAAAACCCAAGTAACAAAGCGTTCATTAAACTAGAATGAAAATATGCAGTAACTTGTTTATTTAGCAACAGCAAAATGCCAGAAGTAGCCCAGTCCAGATGTTTTCATGTAATCTCCTCCGTCAGTGTGATGTATTGGAGCATATTGCAAAAGAGAAATCACTGGAAGTCAATGGTGAATTAGCTCAGACCAAAAGGAAGCAGAGCCATCCAACATTGTGAACTTTTGGCCGCAAGCTCTGATCACTGCTCTGGGCTATAGATTCCCTGAGGTGTCATGCTTTTTTACCCACAATGCAACTCGCTGGTAGTACAAAGTGCATGGTTTTCATGCACAAGAATTGATACTTTGCAGTTACCATGGTGACATAACGGACACATTAGCAATTACACTGTCTGAAAACCCAAAATACAATACAAAAATTTTAACAGCACATTTTCAGGAGCCTGTGATCTATACATAGCTTCAAAAACATACCTGAAGTTGTGTTTTTTTCACACGTTTGAGTAATTTTGGTTTATAAGTCTGTCTTTAGTTTAGTAGAGACTGGCAGTTCCAGGGCTGGAAGTATCCAAATTATTCTAGTGAAAGTGTATGGACTTTAAAAGCACAGTGGAGCACTTTCTGTATTACACACTGTTCCACATTATGATGTCATGTAGTATTTTCTGTTTGAGAGAAGAACTCACCCTAAATCAGCAGGGTTTGTGTATTAAACATGTGTGAATGAAAACAACTCCAGATATGTTTGTGATGAGGAGACAACATTATAACAAAGATCAGAAAATGGTATAATATGGGCGCTTTAATCTGATGTGAGGGAAATGTGATTTTATTTGTAAATTATATGTGCCCAATGAGCTCCTTTGTTTCACATGAGTTACTGAAGTAAACACATCTGATTGGACAGGAGACCCTGGAGAAGACCCGGGACACACTGGAGGGACTATGTCTCTCGGCTGCGCTGGGAACGCCTTGGGGTTTCCCCAGAGGAGCTGGAGGACGTGTCTGGAGTGAAGGAAGTCTGAGAGTCCCTGCTTAGACTGCTGCCCCTGCGACCCAGCCCCAGATAAACAGAAGAAAATGGATGTATGGATTGGACAAACAACTCTGACCAGTGCATAATATTTATTGTGTCTAAGGATCGACTATATCATATTTTAGTTTTACGATTGTTTGTGAAAAGAAAAAAAAAGAAATTACCTCTTGATATCCTTTTGTAGTGTTCTTGGGCAAGACACTTCACCCACCTGCCTAGTATGAATATGAATCAGTGCCAGGGCAGCTGTGGCTATATATAATTGGGAGATGGGCAGACTAAATGACATTGTTAATATATGCATTTGATTAATTATTGGGACATTAACACTAAACCAGGACTGAACCATGATTAAATTAGGTCTAAACCAGGACTATGCATGGATTAAAAGAGAAAAAAACTAAACTAAAGATAAACAACTAGAACTAAACTGGGAATAAACCACTCAAAATCATAAAGAATCAGGAGCTATAAGAGTACAACCAAGACTTAACTAAGCCCTTCATTTTTGTTGTGTTTTTAAAAATAAATGTGAAACAAATGTCTGGGCACTCTTTACGCCAATTCAAATATTTTCCTCTGCTCTTTTGGACAGCTGTGTAAGGAAAATAGAAGTTATGCTTGTGATGAAATAAAGCATGTGTTTCTTAAGTGTCGAGTTGACAGTTTAAATGTGGCTGTGGTCAGAGGAACCTCAGGAGTCGTCCTGATGCAGCAAAAAGAAACCAAATATTCAAGATTCAGCGTCTGACATAGGACTTCCTCAACAAAAACAATCTCATACTTGCTGACAAAAGTATTTCTACAACTACTAATACTACTACTCATCGTGTCATACATATGCAGTCTTGTGGAGGGTGTCAGTGACTGTCTTCTATCTTCGTCATGACTGTGTTGCCACTGACCTAAATTGGGAGACCATTTAAAGGCTAAGCAACAGCTTTGAAGTGATTTTGAACTAAATTAGGTGGTTAAGTTGTGACACCATTACATCCTCATATTCAGCTTTTTCATACTTTTCAAACTATATAACACAGAAATTTGGGTTTTCATTATTTGTAAGCCATAACAATCAAAATGTCAAGAAATAAGGACCTGAAAGCTTCATTCTATAACATATATAACGTGGGTGTGACATTCTGAAATGAGTGACAAACAATATCGAACTTTTTCATGATGTTCTATTTTTCTACCACTGCTACTACTTCTACTACTTCTCCTCCTACAGCTACTGCTTCTACTACTACCACTACTACTATGGCTACTGCTGCTATGTCATATGTCAATGTCATAGTTAATAATATAACTTTATTTTGTACGCTAAAGTTATTCTCCCACCAGGAAGTACCAGCAAATTTACCAGACATTGTGTTTGTATCATTTGTTGTGTTAAAACAAGAGCACCACTAGAGGAAGCTAGAGTCTCACACTGTTTCTCCTGTTCTGAAGCTCTGTCATTGTTCATTAGATATTACACATGGATCTAATATACAAGAAGAAGAAAAGAAAGCATAGGCAATAAACCAATAAATAAAAAATAAGTAAATTGGCAATCACTGAAAATTAAGTCTATTTGAATGTTGGATTTTAGGAAAAAGCAATATCCAGTCTGTCCTGATCTTACATTTTATTTTATATCACCCTCTGCGTAACTAAAAAAAACAAAAAAACATCTTACTTCTGTTTTAATTTAAAATTTTAAAGCAAATTACCCTTGTTTCACACTCCCAGGAAATGTTGATGACATCAGCTTCAAAATATCAATAGTACATTATTAAAGTTTAATAAAGGTGCACCGTTTAACTTTTCTAGTCTAGGGCAGGGATGGATGAAGTACTCCATTTTGTTACTTAAGTTAACGTACAGACACAGAACAGCAAAAAGTTACTAGTAAAAGTATAGTATGAAAAACTCTTCTTAAGTAAAAATATGTAAGTACTTGTTTTAAAAATCTACTTAAAGAGTAAAAAATTAAAGTATTTTAGTGTTGTTAATTTGTTAAAGTGTTAAATGTATAAATAGATATTTTTGGTCAACAGTCGCAACATGAAGTACTTTTTACTTTTCAGTCCAGTTATAAAACACAGTGGAGTAGAAAGCACAAATACTTGCTCTCAGATGTAGTGAAGTAAAAGTAAAAAGTACTGTCACATGTACTTAAGTGAAGCACAGAAACCTAAAATATTCCTTATGTACGGTAGTTTACCAATTGTCACCTTCTTGTCTATAGGATGACTTTATCGCTTTGCCTGAAATGTTCCATAGTATGTGTAGAATAGTAATACTTTTCTAAATGCATTTATTCGGTTGTTCGTTTGTTGTTAGTGATACTAAAATTTCAAACCTGATTTTAATACAAAGTAATAAACACAATACTCAATACTGATTCTGATTTATTTACATTTATTTAGACAGTAGAATGTCATTTTCAACATTAAAGCATAGTACTTTTCTATTCACATGTGTTCTTATATCTGTGTACTCCCTGAGTGGTCCAGGTAGGTTCCACAGTGATCCATGGGTGTATACTAGTCTATGTGCTTTTATACTTGTTCTGATACAACTCAAAGATCATTCTAAATCTACTCAGGAAAGCTTAATTTCAGTCCTATGAATGCCACTTTTT